CTTATCATCATCCTCCTCTTCCTCCTCCTCCTCTTCTTCCTCCTCCGTCTCTTCTTCTTCTTCCTCCTCCTCCTCCTCCTACAGTCACATTCCCTCAGGATATATTCTCGGTTAAAGTTTTATTGCTTCTGGAGTACATCTGTGTGTGTGTGTGTACGTAATCACCTAGTTGTGGTTGCAGGGGTTGATTCATAGCTCCTGACTCTGCCTCTTCGCTGGTCGCTACTCCAGCTCCATGAGCTTCATCATACCTCTTCTTAAAGCTATGTATGGATCCTGCCTCCACTACATCACTCTCCAGATTATTCCACTTCCTGACAACTGTATAACTGAAGAAATACTTCCTAACATCCCTGTGGCTCATCTGAGTTCTCAACTTCCAGCTGTGACCCCTTGTTGCTGTGTCTCATCTCTCAAACATTCTGTCCCTATCCACCCTGTCAATTCCTCTCAGTGTTTTATACGTCGTTATCATGTCCCCCTATCCATCCTGTCCTCCAGAGTCGTTAGGTCGAGTTCCCTGAAACTCTCCTTGTATGATATACCCCTCAGCTCTGGGACTAGTCTTGTTGCAAACCTTTGCACTTTTCCTAATTTATGTACTTGACAAGGTGTGGGTTCCATACTGGTGCTGCATACCTTCAATATGGATCTGACATACACAGTGTACAGTGTCACGAATGACTCCTTCCTCAGGTGTCCAAACGCTATTCTTAGGCATGCCAGGCGCCCATATGCTGCAGCAGTTATTTGGCTCATGTGCGCCTCAGGAGATGTGATCGGTATTATACACACTCCAAGATCCCTTTCCTTGAACAGGCCCCCTAGCCTGTTCTCCGTCTGCCGTCTTCTTTGACCTTCCCCAATCTTTATGACTTTCCACTTGGTTGGGTTAAACTCCAGGAACCGGTTGTTGAACCAAGCTTGCAGCCTGTCTAGATCCCATTGTAGTCATGTCTGGTCCTCATCCGACTGAATTTTTCGTATTAGCTTCACATCGTCTGCAAACAGGGACACATCTGAATCTATTCCTTCCGTCATGTCATTCACATAAACCAGAAACAGCACCGGTCCTAGGACTGACCCTTGTGGAACCCCGCTCGTCATTATTTTCTTCCTGTCAGGTATTCTCTGATCCAATGAAGTGCCTTTCCTGTTATACGTGCCTGATCATCTAGCTTCTGCACTAATCTCTTGTGTGGAACTGTGTCGAAAGACTTCTTACAATCCAAGAAACTGCAGTCTACCCACCCCTCTCTTGCCTGCCTCAACTCTATCACCTTCTCCTAAAACTCCAGTAGCTTTGTGACACAGGATTTCTCCTCCCCGAAACTGCGCTGGTTATCGTGTGTGAGCTCATTCTTTTCTTTGTGCTCCACCAGTCTTTTCCTGTTAAGCTTCTCCATGACTTTGCATACTATACATGTCAGTGACATTGGTCTGAAGTTTATTTCTGCTTGCCTGTCTCCTTTCGTAAAGATAGGGACTACATTCGCTGTCTTCTACACCTCAGGTAGTCGCCCTGTTTCGATAGATGTGTTAAAGACTTAGTGGCACACACCGTGCCTCTGCTCCCTCTCTCAGGACCCACAAAGAAATGTCTGGTCCCACTGCCTTTGAGGTATTTAGTTCACTTACTAACCTCTTCACCTCCTCCTCGATTGTATGTATTGTGTCCAACACTTGCTGATGTATTCTGCCATTCTGGTTTACTATAGTCCAGTCTGTCTCCAATGAAAATACTTCCTTAAATCTCCTGTTTAGCTCTTCACATACTTCTTTGTCGTTGCTTGTGATCTCTCCTCCTTCCTTCCTCAGCCTGACTACCTGGTCCTTGAATGATGTTTTCCTCTTGATGTGGCTGTACAACAGCCTTCGATGCTATGTCATAGTCGTATTGCCGCTGGGCTTCCCTCCTTATCCATGTGTATTCATTTCTGGTTCTTCAGCTAATCCTCTTATATCCTTCAATCCTTTGTATTCTATACTTTATCCATTCTCTAGGGCACTTAATTTTGGCCTCTCTACACCTCTGGGTGAACGAAGGCCTTGTTCTGGTCTTCCCATTGGTTCTGCTGCCCTTGGGTACGAACCTCTCCTCTGTCGATTTGCATTTTGTGGTCACATATTCCACCATTTCATTCACTGTATTTTCCACCAGTTCTCTTTCTCACTGTACTTCAAGCAGGAAATTCCTCGTACCTGTTTTGTCCCCTCTTTTATAGTTTGGCTTCTCCCATCCTACTCGTTCTGCTTCCCTCTACTTTTAGCCCTACAATGTATTCGAAGTTCAGAACCACGTTATCACTGGCTCCGAGAGGCCTTTCATATGTAGTGTCCCCAACGTCTAGACTACTGAAGGTGAATATGAGTTCCAGCCTTGCTGGTTCAGCCTCTCCTCTCTCTCTGGTAGTGTCCCTAACGTGTTGATGCACGAGGTTTTCCAGTACCACCTCCATTATCTTGGCTCTCCACCTGTCTGGTCCCCCGTGTGGCTCTAGGTTTCCCCAGCCAATCTCTTTGTGATTGAAATCACCCACAACTAGTAACTTTGCTCGGCCCATGTTGACTATTCTGACAACCTCAGCTAGTGTATCAACCATTGCTTTATTATTCTCATCATACTCTGTCTTTGTGTGTGTGTGTGTGTGTGTGTGTGTGTGTGTGTGTGTGTGTGTGTGTGTGTGTGCGTGTGTGTGTGCGTGCGTGCGTGTGTGTGTGTGTGTGTGTGTGTGTGTGTGTGTGTGTGTGTTTAATTGTGTGTGTGTGTGTACTCACCTAGTTGAGGTTGCAGGGGTCGAGTCCGAACTCCTGGCCCCGCCTCTTCACTGGTCGCTACTAGGTCACTCTCCCTGAACCGTGAGCTTTATCATACCTCTGCTTAAAGCTATGTATGGATCCTGCCTCCACTACATCGCTTCCCAAACTATTCCACTTACTGACTACTCTGTGGCTAAAGAAATACTTCCTAACATCCCTGTGATTCATCTGTGTCTTCAACTTCCAACTGTGTCCCCTTGTTACTGTGTCCAATCTCTGGAACATCCTGTCTTTGTCCACCTTGTGTGTGTACTCACCTAGTTGAGGTTGCGGGGGTCGAGTCCGAGCTCCTCCCCCCGCCTCTTCACTGATCGCTACTAGGTCACTCTCTCTGAGCCGTGAGCTTTATCATACCTCTGCTTAAAGCTATGTATGGATCCTGCCTCCACTACATCGCTTCCCAAACTATTCCACTTACTGACTACTCTGTGGCTGAAGAAATACTTCCTAACATCCCTGTGATTCATCTGTGTCTTCAGCTTCCAACTGTGTCCCCTTGTTAATGTGTCCAATCTCTGGAACATCCTGTCTTTGTCCACCTTGTTAATTCCTCTCAGTATTTTGTATGTCGTTATCATGTCCCCCCTATCTCTCCTGTCCTCCAGTGTCGTCAGGTTGATTTCCCTTAACCTCTCCTCGTAGGACATACCTCTTAGCTCTGGGACTAGTCTTGTTGCAAACCTTTGCACTTTCTCTAGTTTCTTCACGTGCTTGGCTAGGTGTGGGTTCCAAAATGGTGCCGCATACTCCAATATGGGCCTAACGTACACGGTGTACAGGGTCCTGAATGATTCCTTATTAAGATGTCGGAATGCTGTTCTGAGGTTTGCTAGGCGCCCATATGCTGCAGCAGTTATTTGGTTGATGTGCGCTTCAGGAGATGTGCCTGGTGTTATACTCACCCCAAGATCTTTTTCCTTGAGTGAGGTTTGTAGTCTCTGGCCCCCTAGACTGTACTCCGTCTGCGGTCTTCTTTGCCCTTCCCCAATCTTCATGACTTTGCACTTGGTGGGATTGAACTCCAGGAGCCAATTGCTGGACCAGGTCTGCAGCCTGTCCAGATTCCTTTGTAGTTCTGCCTGGTCTTCGATCGAGTGTATTCTTCTCATCAACTTCACGTCATCTGCAAACAGGGACACCTCAGAGTCTATTCCTTCCGTCATGTCGTTCACAAATACCAGAAACAGCACTGGTCCTAGGACTGACCCCTGCGGGACCCCGCTGGTCACAGGTGCCCACTCTGACACCTCGCCACGTACCATGACTCGCTGCTGTCTTCCTGACAAGTATTCCCTGATCCATTGTAGTGCCTTCCCTGTTATCCCTGCTAGGTCCTCCAGTTTTTGCACCAACCTCTTGTGTGGAACTGTGTCAAACGCCTTCTTGCAGCCCAAGAAAATGCAATGTGTGTGTGTGTGTGTGTGTGTGTGTGTGTGTGTGTGTGTGTGTGTGTGTGTGTGTGTGTGTGTGTGTGTGTGTGTGTGTGTGTGTGTGCGCTCGCGCACCTGCTTCAGCCTAGTCACACCTATTCTTAAAACTACCTGGAACAATGGGAGAGAAAAACCAATAAGGAGCACTGCAATAGGCCTACTGGCCCATGCTAGACAAGTTCACCTCACATATAACTCATGTACCCGTCCACAGTCACAGACCGGGCCGCGGGGGCGTTGACCCCCGGAACTCTCTCCAGGTAAACTCCAGGCAAACCAAAATTCTTCCTTCAGCCACACTACCTGCCAGTCTGCTCCATTTATCCACAATTCAATAAACAAAACTGTTCTTCCCGATAGGCTTTCTAAATCTAAATTTTTCCAACTCTGAATCTATTGCTGTGAGTTCTGCCTTGATTAGATATTTTCAAAACACTTTTTATTGTTTTTTTTATTATTCCTGTTATTCATTTACGAATACTTGTGAAAAGGGAATAAATTATCAACATTATTACTGTTAGTATTATCAATATCATTATTACTGTTATTACTGTTATTATTAGCATTATCAATACTATTACTGTTATTACTATTACATTAGTTATTATTATCAGTATTATCATTATTATTACTATTACATGCATTATCATTTTCAGTTATTATTATTTCATTATTATCATTATAATGTAGACGCACACATCCCATTTTCTATGAGAAAGTTAGTGTCTGACCGCTGGTTGTCCCACACAGAGTGAAGAATGGCCAGTATCAGCTGTTGTCTTCGGCTGTTATGGTGGAGGACTGCTCATCATGGTAGTCATAGCCCAGGTAAGAGTCCACTACCATAGTCTGGATAGTCTCTTGAGTGGTCATAGTAGAGTTGAGGCCGGGCAATTCGCGTTTCAAGTCTATCTACTATTCGAGGGTCATTAAGGCTGCATGTCACCTGTGCAATGTGATATATATATATATATATATATATATATATATATATATAAATATATAATATATATATATATATATTATTATATATATTATATATATATATATATATATATATATTATATATATATATATATATATATATATATAATATATATATATATATATATATATATATATTATTATTATTATTATTATTATATATTATTATCAAACTGGCCGATTCCCACCAAAGCAGGGTGGCCCGAAAAAGAAAAACTTTCACATCATTCACTCCATCACTGTCTTGCCAGAAGGGTGCTTTACACTACAGTTTTTAAACTGCAACATTAACACACCTCCTTCAGAGTGCAGGCACTGTACTTCCCATCTCCAGGACTCAGTCCGGCCTGCCGGTTTCCCTGAACCCCTTCATAAATGTTACTTTGCTCACACTCCAACAGCACGTCAAGTATTAAAAACCATTTGTCTCCTTTCACTATCAAACACGCTCATGCATGCCTGCTGGAAGTCCAAGCCCCTCGCACACAAAACCTCCTTTACTCCCTCCCCCCACCTTTCCTAGGCGCCCCCTACCCCCCTTTCCCTTCACTACAGACTGATACACTCTTGAAGTCACTCTGTTTCGCTCCATTCTCTCTACATGTCCGAACCCCCTCAACAACCCTTCCCCAGCCCTCTGGAAAAACAGTTTTGGTAATCCCACACCTCCTCCTAACTTCAAAACTACGAATTCTCTGCGAATTATATTCACACCACACATTGCCCTCAGACATGAATCTCCATGCCTCCAGCCTTCTCCTCGCTGCAACTTCATCCCCCATGCTTCACACCCATAAAAGGAGCGTTGGTAAAACTATACTTTCATACTTTCCCCCTCTTTGCCCCAAGGACAAAGTTCTTTGTCTCCACAGACTCCTAAGTGCACCATCACCCTTTTCCCTCATCAATTCTATGATTCACCTCACCCTTTCATAGCCCCATCCGCTGACCCCGTCCACTCCAAATTCTGAATACATTCACTCCTCCATATATATATATATATATTATAATATATATATATATATATATATATTTATATATTATATTTTATTGTCGTGCCAAATATGTAAAAATGGTTCAATTAGCAAGGAACTCATTTAAAACAAAAGTCCTTTCTAAAATTTTCTCTTATAAGTTTAAAGATATATTTTTTCATTAATGTTAATGTAAAAATTTTTAATTTTGCACCAAAAGAATCTTAGAAAACTTACCTAACCTTATTTATAATAAGAACAATTTATTTTAGCCCAACCCAACTAAAAAATATTTTATATTTGTTTACAATAAAATTTTAAAACTAAACAAACACAGTGAATATATTTTTTTCGTTGGTTTTAGAATGATTTTGGCGAAATTATTGCATACACAAATTTTCACTTGCTCTATATGGCAAGATGAGCGTTGCTATTTTAAACCAAGATCGCAAGTTCTGCCTATTCGGCACGAATTATATATATATATATATATATAATATATATATATATATTATATATATTTTATATATTATATTTTATATATGCAAACAACCACTCTGAAGAATAAGAAATTCCAAGCGCTTTCGTGACTACTCACATTATCAAGGAATATGAAAATAAAGAATCCAAAGGGAAATATATAAGGGGGGCTGGCCAGCACCTCACTATTTAGATCCCACAACGGTTAACACCTGACGCGCGCCGACCCAACTTGGATAGGTCCTTGGCACAACTCACCCACAAACTATTCTACCCCAAAAAATAAGAAATTTTAAAGATTATTTGTCCAGTGTATTATTAAATTCTTCCCAAATTCTATTAATTATAAATGGATCTAATTTATATAACCAAGGAAATTAGATCCATTTATAATTAATGAATTTGGGAAGAATTTAATAATACATGGACAATAATCTTTAAAATTTTTATTTCTTGGGTAGAAAGTTTGTGGGGTGAGTTGTGCAAGGACCTATCCAAATTGGGTCGGCGCGCGTCAGGTGTTTAACCGTTGTGGGATCTGATAGTGAGGTGCCGGCCAGACCCCTTATTAGCTTCCTTGGATGCTTTACTTTCATAGTTCCTTGATAATGTGAGTAGTCACGAAAGCGCTTGGAATTTCTTATTCTTTCTGAGTGGTTGTTTTGCATATTCTGAAATCACCTGTTTACTGTGATCTTATTGGGATATATATATATTTTTATATATATTTTATATATATATATTTTATATATATATATTTAATATATATATATATAAAATAATTATATATATATAATATATATGAGAGAGAGACTGGATAAATCCAAGTTCAGTTGTGTAGCAGCGCTGGACAATGCTTGTGCTTTCCAGAGTATGGCACCAGGCACTCTTGGCAAAACATCAAGCACTAAGAGTCGCTGGCTCTGCACTGTGCCTCCTCCTAAGGTAGACCTCCAAGAGTAGTTCTCAACGAGATAGAGTCAACAAGGCACACTATTGGTGCAAGTGTTCCTCAGGGAAGTGTGTTTGGGTCATTGTTATGGAATGTCTACTTCAATGACCTTCATCTCATCCCAGAATCCCATGCATATGTAGACGACTGTACACTGACATTTACTAATCCAAGACAGGAAATGCCAGCTGCTCTAAGCTACATCAATCACCAACTTACAGCTATATCAGCCTGGGGTAAACGATGGCAGGTCACATTTGCTCCTAAGAAAACACAGATCATAATGGTCTCTAGGCACCATGATGGTAATGCTGGAACAACGGTGAGAATGCATGGGAGAGTGTTGGTACCCGGAGATGAGGTGGATATCCTGGGGATGAAATTTGACTTCAAACTGATTATGAAGAACCACGTTGTAAATCTTGCAAACAAGGCTGCCAGGAACCTTACAGCACTTACAAGTATCTCGCATCTGCTCTACAGTAAGGGTTGTAAGATTCTGTACGAAGCACAAGTACGCTCACACCGTGAGTATGCTCCACTTTCTTGGATTGCTTGCCGTCCATCTCATATACAACTTCTTGACAGATCAGAGAACAGAACAAGACGAGACTATTCTCTCGCCTGGACTCAGCCTGGACAGATCTGTCAGTCCAGTAGAGCCTTCAACACAGGAAAGATGTGGGTGGCCTTACTGCTATGTACAAGGGCAATATTGTCAAAATACCACACTTGGCTTCACTCAGAGGACAGCGAGAAGTGAGCATCTACACCACAAGACGGGCAGCAAGCAGCAACTTCACTCTGACTAACCTTCTCCAGAACATCACTTCATCTGAGATCATTTATTTCTGGGATGACTCGGGTCTGGAGCATGTGCGTACAGCATGACATCAACAAGTTAAAGTCAGTTGACCAAACGAAATAACTGGTCCACAGATGGCTCCAACTTCATCTTGTTCCTTATCTGTATGTCTCATAACAATACGGCCTTCATATGAGCTGATGTAGGTAAGAGCTCTTAGCTTTTAAATAAAATTAGGAACTCTAAACCTAACCTTGTAAAACTCTGTATAAAGAGAGCGGGAGAGAGAGAGAGAGAGAGAGAGAGAGAGAAGAGAGAGAGAGAGAGAGAGAGAGAGAGAGAGAGAGAGAGAGAGAGAGATCGCAGAGTATTGCCTCACCAGCATGTTCTGACACCTCTCCTTTGATAGACTTATTACCTGTTCATGGTGGTGATTGGTGGTGGTTGGTGGTGGTTGGTGGTGGTTGGTGGTGAAAAGGTGATATGCAGCTTTAATGACCCTCGTGTTGCAGACAGACTTTACACACACACAAATCAACCAGCCACAGACATTTAACCGTAAAACAAACACCACAGCAATGATGAGAACATTTATTACTCAAGCCACACACACATTCCACCCAGCTAGGGAATGTGATAGATTAATGGAATGCCTCCCTTATTAATCTTACAAGACATAAGACAAATACTCCTTCTAGCTAGCTAGGGGGAGTGAGAGAGGGAAGGAGGGTTAGGGTGCCTAGACACAGGCTACTGGAGTCACACTATCCTCCCTCCCCAACCCCACTCGGTGGCACTGTGACCCTTACGGAGCTAGCGCTCTCTTTACATAATAACACCAGCTTAGCTCTAATTGTACTATTTAAAGTATCAAGGTTTTTAAATACAATTTTAATATTAAAAGTCTTAAGAAGAGAAGGCATATCAACCAAGTTTTCATGGTAAGGGAGAACCAACATATTTTTAGTTGAATAAGACAGGTTGTCCCTTTTTGGATTGTAAAAAGTATTTCTAGCAATTTTAAAAGATTTTTCAATTACATTTCTTGGGTATTTCAAATCATTACCTATTTCATAAATTTTGGATATTTCCTCATCTATGAACTCAGGACTACAAATTCGTAAAGCTCTCAAAAACATTGATGAGAAAACAGACAGTTTAACTCTATCCTGATGCGAAGAATAATAGTGGACATACGAACAGTTATTTGTAGGTTTTCTGTAAATTTTAAATTTGAAATCATTATCACCTTTAATAATTAAAACATCTAGAAAAGGCAATGAGTTATTTTCCTCAAACTCAACAGTAAAGTTTATAGAATGGGCTAAGCTATTTAATTTAACAAGGAAATGGTGTATATCTACATTCTTGGACATAAGACACAAAATATCATCAACATATCTGAACCAATTAGCTGTATTAGGTAGGACTGTGTTAAGCAACCTTGTTTCAAAAGATTCCATGTATAGGTTACTATACATGGGATTGTTTTTATAGTTTATAGCTCCTTGATAATGTGAGAAGTCACGAAAGTGATTGGAATTTCACTATTCTTTCACAGTGGTTGTTTTGCACGCACACACACACACACACACACACACACACACACACACACACGCACACACACACACAA